AAGGCTTCAAGCTGATAGTCATACTAGTCACCAATACTAAGTCCAAATTGGACTTTGTAAAAGTAACATGGCCTAAAGATAAAAATCCTAAGTCAGGTTTGAACTTAGAAAAGTTCTGCATCACATCTTAGAAAATACTAAGTCCAAGTTGGACTTAGAAATAGTATCTCAAATGAGGCCAATTCTATATACTACTAAGACAAGCATATTCTAAGACAGCTAGGAGTATAATACCATAGCCAATTGTGGAGTATTGAGTAAAGATAGCATCATCCAGGAGCAGTAAGAAGAGAGACCCAATGATCTGTAGCTAGCACTGTGAGTTTTGACTCAAATGCTTAAGTCCAAATTTCCTAGGTATCAGGTGATCTAAGGGACTTATAATTGAGAGGAATAGAGTGGATAGAACCAGTTGACTGAGCCTGACCAGGCCTGATCGATCAAGCTACTAAAAATAACTCAGAGGATTAAAACTCTGAGTAGACAGAAAGGAGTTAGGTACCCACAGGCACTGTAGGCTTAAAATAAAGCTGTGCAGTAGCCAAGCAGGTCTGGGCAAGCCTAAGGGAGTCCAAGAGTGCTGCAATTCTGCAATAATAGTGTGATTCTACTTTAAACAGGAGAAATATTATTTTGAATACTTTATTTATAGATTCTGTACCTGTTGTTGGTGTATAAAAGAAGGGAATGAGGGGGAAATAGCAAGCAAGAGACCCACCCCCACATTCAGGCCTTCTAGCCTACTGTAGCTAGTCTCTGGGACAACAGATTTTGAGTTCTGCTTTGACTTAGCGATTTATTTAAGTTGCTTTGTCACTTAGAGAGAGGATTGGATTGGAATAATAACTGTATTTTGAGTTTTGAATTAATTTGGGTTCCAAACTATAAGGGTTTTGGCATCAGAATACAAGTTCTTCAGTTTTAAGGACTACTAGCCAGCCAAGAGTGCAGCTAGTCAAGCCTAAGTGCTTGATAGACTTAGTATTTGGGTTTTGGAGTTCATTGGGTTTTGGAATATTTTAAGTTGATTTGGAGTGCAATTTGGCATTGATTCTAAGTCCTAATTATACTTAAACATTGCTATAAACTACTCTCATGAGTATTGCATCTTTGAAAGCAAAATAGGGTTGAATAACTATCTTTATTGACTGTTTCTTTGATTTTACTTAAGACTGCAAGAGTGCTTCTATTGTACTCAAAACAACTGACCTCAACTGTATTTGGTGATTGTGTATTGAGTGGTTAGGTGTTGGTGATTGAGAGTTCATTTCTCATTCATCTCTCTTAGTCACTTAGCCATTACCAAGCACATTATCACTGCTGCTGCTTCACATCACATCTTGCTGCCACTGCTCTGCAATACCAGCAGAAGTTTTGGTAGAAACAGAGTCAGAGGAAGAAGGACATAATGCATCCATCTAGGACCTGCTGAAGATCTTCAGTGGAGTCAATGTGTTCCTTGTCACCTCTAAGATCCCTGCCATAGCTTTGTAGATCTCCTTCATGGATTGGGATATTGTTGGTGTCAGTGATTGAATTTGTCCCATAGAATAATGAGCAGTTGTTATCAAGGTTGAGTGATACTTGTCAGTAGATGTCATCTGTGTGGATAATGCTCTCAGAGGATACTACTCATAGGTCATGCTCAGAGTTGGCAGGAGTGCTCAGCTCTCAGAATGGGGCATCAGAGGAATTGATAAAGATCCAGTCAATGGTGGAGGTACCAGGGCTCTCTAAGCCTCTCCTCTAATCTGCTACATCTTGAGCTCAGAGATACCATCTGAAGAGGGCATCCTCTCTAGCTGTCTTGTACTTGATTTGTGCCTGCTCCTGGATATACTTGGCAAGAGAATTGGTGTGTCAAACTTTATTCTCTGAGAGGAAGATTGGATCAATAGAGTCAGCTGATTGTGATATGCCTGGTGGTGTTTATACACAGCCAGCTCTGCAAGCTACACAGCATTCTATCCAGTCTACTACTCTGGTGGCCTCCTGCCAGTATCATTCTTTGCTGCTGTCATAGGCAAAGTATGAGTCATTGATTCTGATGACCTCTGTTCTTCCTCTCTTGCTATCAGTACTCTGGTTTCTGATGTATAGCTCAGCAGAGAAACTCTCTCCACTTCCTGTCAGCATTGCATATAAGAATCATAGCTGTCATTTGGTGAGGTACTTTTACTCCTTCAAGCCACTCCAGTGGCATTAAAGGAGTCTTTGGTATGGTGTTCAATATCAGGCTCAGAGGATGCAGTTGAGAGGGTGGCCCTCATCATATGGACGTTGCTGAGGACATCTGAGTATTCAACATGCAGGATTAGCATATCAGATCTTGGTCTTAAAACCCTGTAGCCCAAGGGTTATTATTATCTCTGACAATTGCCATCAGGGGTCAGAGCAGATATTAGTGCTGTATCTCTTCTCCAGAATACTGCGAATGCATATCTTTAGAGTCAGTTTCAGATATGGTTCCTTTCATAGGCTGAAAGGACTGTCAGACAAAAAAAGAGATATTATAGAGGGGGAGATTAGAGGTGATATTTTATAGAATATATCAGATGTGCTAGAATTCTTGATAGTGTCTGATGGCTCAGACAGTAATTAATTGGCATCTACAGCACAGCTGTATAATTACTAATAATCCTAATAATGTTTTGATGATAGAAGTGAGGAGTTCAAAGAACTTGTGAGTGAAGTTAGGATCTGATGGATTGATTATAGGAGGCATTCAGTTTCTTAGTAGGATCAGGCTTGAGAAAGGGAAGCTAGAAGCTTTGAGCTAATTGTTAAGCTCAAATGACATATGACCTAAACACATGATAAACTGACACTGCTTTGCACTTCAGGCAATAATGTCAGAGTTCACTTGATGTGTTATATGGCTCTGTATCACAAGATCTTTAAATTGGCTCAAGATAAGATAGTGAAGAATAAAACTTTAGCTCAAAGCTAAGAATACTACAGCAAGAGCTATGCTACTTATATACTAGTCATTATCCATCTAAAGATATAACTATCTAATTATATGTTCTGGCATTATAAAGCATTTTGTCCAGTGTTATTAAGCTATCTACAAAAGAGTATTATCTGTTGTTGAGCAGTAACTATTATATTGAAGAACAATGACTGACTAGGTATTGTTGTGATGACTAAGCCTAGTCCCATAGTCCTAAGTGCTGGCTAAGTGCTCTGACTAAGCAAAGATAGAGATCAGTCTCTTAAATAAAAGATAAAAATGCAGAAAAATTATAACATCTATCTCATCTATTAGATTCTGCTTCAGAGAATATTTCTCTTCATTTTTCTGACAGAACTCTATTCTGTCCATCCAAATCCTTGAGACTTGACTCAAGGATAACATTGCTAATAGCTTTATTGATTCTCACACACTCTGCCAGCCTCCATGTATATACTCAAGTCCAACTGATTAGCATATTTCTAACAGACTGTATCTCTCTAGTTTGATCATTGACTATTGCTCCTCCAAAAAACTTTGGTCACAACAAACTCTATCAGCTAACAACTTTGTGAAATTTCTGAACTACTTTATAGTGCCAACAGTGGCAAAAAGATACCAAGCACTTGCAACCCAAGCCTGCTGATATCTCTACTAGTAACCAATCTATTTCCAGCTCATCTACACTTCCAATAAAGCAAGAAGACCTAGAACTCCTTATTTCAGAAGACTTTTACAACTAATACCTAAACATATTAACTATAAAACTCTTTGAAATTTTTGAAGAGGAAGAAGTCCTTATCAGTCTACAACCTACAGAAGCCCATCAGTCAGACACACTTCCTGTGATATACAATACTGCTGAAAATACTACTCCTGCACTAGTTGACACTTTCACACTTAACTCAGACCAAGAACTCAATCTTGCTGAATTTAGCAGACATTTAAATCTCATCACACCCAGCACTGACACTAGCAAACTTTTATCTATATAAAGTTTGCCCAGACAAAACTCAGCCTCAGTAATAACATCTGAGGAAGAATTATATTTCCCAAGGATCCTACTCACCCTATATTTAAACACTCTTAATACTTTGCAAAACATAATGTCACAAACTACAGATACCCAAAGTGATCCATCTGCAGCCTCTCCAGCAGCTCTACCAGTTACTATGAATTCCCACATGCTATTCAAAAGAGAATATAGTACTCCTGCCATATTTAATGAAGCCAATCCAGATCACAAACTTTTCTGCTATCTATAAGACTTAGAAGCCCTCTTTGTCTGTTACAGTATTATTGATAATATGAAAAAGAAGAAATGGCTGACACACTACTCTGGAGTAGCTGTGGCAGACTTCTGAGAAAGCCTTGCAGAATTTTCAGATACTAACAGTATCTATGAAAACTTGAAGAAAGCTATCATAAAGCAATATCCAGATGCAGATGTCAATTGCAAATACAAGCAAATGGATCTCAAATGAGTAGTAGAAAAATACACTCATGAAATTTCCTCTCTAGCCAATCTGAGAACATATTACAGGAAATTCTATCCTAAAGCACAGTTCTTAGAAGCCAAAAAGTGACTGTCTGATTCAGAAATCAGCACTTTATTTAGTAAAAGATTCTCTGACAACATATGAGAAGGAATAATGCATCAGCTCCAGATCAAGTTACCTAACTATTTTTCTTCAGACTCTTATGCTCTTAACAAAATATATAAGGCAGCACAATTTGTGTTACAAGAAACCAACTGAGGAGAAAGTCTCTATGCTAGTATCTCTCAACTCTATTATCCTGGAGCAGAATATGCAATGTATAATCCTCTAGGTTGCTAGTTGCACTAGTACCTATAGTTATATCTCAGTTATATCCTACTAGAGCACTAGATCCAGTAGTGATGAAGCAAGAACCATCTGAACTTTCTTTGCACCTGCAGGCTATGATAGACAAAATTTTGCAGCTCATTCAAATGCAGATAGAGAAGCAACAGATATGTAAAAACTCTCCAACAAATTCACAATCTTTATTTGTTAGCTTTCTAGTAATGAAGGATGGAAATTGCAGATTCTATAGACAGCATGATCATTATATTAATACTTGCAAAGAAATTGATATGGCCATTCATAATGGTAAATGTTGCAAGAACACAAAAAACCATATTGTGTTACCTACAGGTGTCTACCTTCCACAAGATATATCTGGCAATTGTCTTCTTGATAGAATTGAAGAATAGCATAGGCAAAACTCTGGTCAATTGGATGCTGTCAACACTATACTACAGTTTATCTGAAAACCTCTTACATTCATCAAGAACACAGAACAATATGCTCAATTAGTATATTGGAGATTCTTACCTGCTAATATAACTATTATATAATATGTCAAAGCCTTAATATATTACAATTTTTTCTCTTTTATTCTCATTTCTCACAGTATTAACTCCTATTTATGCTTAGTCAGAGCACCTATACCAGCACTTAGGACTGTGAGATAATCTTAGTCAGCACAATCAGCCATTGTCTCTTGACTTGTAGTGACACTCTAACAACAACACAACAGACCTTTTGTAGGTAGCATTGCTTTAACAGAATAATGAGTACTATAGCACAGATACTTACAATTAGTAGTAGTATATTTAGCAATAGACCCAGAGATATATAAGTAGTATAGACAGCACCATATATCTCTAGTCTCAAACTATCCTTTATTATACTACTTTACCTCAAGTCAACTACTTGCATTGACCTTAGAATATAATATCTACAAATACATCAAGTGGACTTAAGCATGATTGTATGAATGTGATACAGCACTTATTTACCATGTGTTATAGAGCATGTGTCATTCAGACCTAACAATTAGTTTAAGACTTTGGCTTTCCTTTTCTTATACTCATCATGAGCAAAAAAGACCAAATGCCTGCTATCAACATCACTACTACTGATCTCACTGATGAATTCTTTAAGCTTCTAGCTTCAATCATAAAAACACTTTTAAGCTTATTAGCTGTCATCACACTTTGCTATGGATATCAATCTATTTTAGCTTGGGTAGTCAGACACTATCAATCTTTCTAATATATCCAGCAGATACTATATAATGTCACTTCTGACCTCTTCCTTCAAGACATCCCTCCCTCTGCCAGAGTCTTCTTTTAGCTCACATCAGGAATCATACTCAAAGCCAGGCCTGGTAACATGAATAAAGGGGACCTTCAGAAAGAAGAAGAACTCTGACCAGTCAGATCTTCTTGAACAGCTAGCTGAAATGATGAGCATCATGATGTCACAGGATTCTAAAACTCATAGACTCTGACATGCATCCTATGGGTTCCACTCTCCATTCCTAACTATGAGGATGAAGATCTCTCTGATGACTCCTTTGAGGAGTCACCATCCTCTGACTCTTCTATCACTCCTCATGAGCCCAGTATTGAAGATCATGCCAGAGACTCTATTGAGAATGCTCAAGGAATTGCAGTTAACAGATATTTCAGATATGTCACCTCTTAAGAAAGTTTCTTTTTCTCAGCCCCCAGTCTAGTCCTATCAACCCCAAATACTCCCTATGATGCCAGCTCTATACTTGATGAGTATAGAATCTAAGGATTCCCAGATGACATCAGAAGAAAGTATAAAGAAACAGAGTATGATTCTGATAGCAATGCTATTCATAACCAACTAGATCAGCTCAAGCAGAAGTGACAGGCCAAAGAGCTCTATGAGCAAAGACTGGCTGAGCAGTAAGAAGAGCATGAGCATCTCTGATATGCAGCTCAATACAGAAGATAGGAGCAAGGCCAGCAGGCCACAGAGTGGGGCTCAGCTCTATCTGACCACTATGGACTCTATACAGAGAGTTCAGATGAGAAACTCTGCAAGTGGAGCCCTGACAATGAGGATAACCTATGGTCTGCTGACCACTGAGACAATACTCAGGTTCTCACAGCAGACAAGGCCCACTATATTGATGATGATGACTATGAGCCCCCTCTACTGACCTATAAGAAGAGTACTGCTATCAGCAGCAGCAGTTCCCTTCTTTCAGATGTCAGTTTCATACTTGCCAAGTATGGAATCTGAGTATTCCCAGAGGCTAGAGTCACTGAGCAGGCCCTCTGACAATTTCTTCATAGGTATATTGCTGCCCTCTTTCTCAACAACTTCTATGCAGACTTCTGCTAATATAACTGAGCAGTGAAGGAGAACAGAGCATGAACAAAAAACTGTTAGGTCAGGGCTCACTGACCTTACTAGCAGTCTGCTTCTGAAACCAAAAGTGAAACCAATGAGAAGCTCTTCTGTGACCCTCAAAGCCTCTGAGCCACTCAGCTATGAGCCACCTGCTGACTACTCCAAGAAGAGCAAGGAGGGCAACAGGAACAACAGGGCCAAAAAGGACAGCAAAGCTGAGAAGAATAAGGAGGACAGCAGAGATGAGAAGGACATCTCTGATATGACTGATCCCTAGATAGCATATGAAGACACAAATAAAAAAGAACTGGAGAGAATGATTCAAGAGACAAGAGAAGAGGAGTTTGAGATGCTATACTAGAAAGAGGCAGTAATGTTATAGAAGAAAGTCAGCTGGCTAATGACCCCTCTGGGAAGGAGATGTTCAGCCACTGATAATGAAAAACAAAGATATATTTTACAGTATGCCATGACTGACTATGCCATCTACATTTATAACAGCATGCACCTGGAGAACTGGCTCAAGACATTGCTGGCCTTCAAGTATGAAGTCCAACCACTACCATCAACTCTGCTGATTCCTTCACAATGAGCCATATATATGGCTCCATCTAATCAAACACTCTGAACCCAACCTTCTTGCTTGACTATGGCTAGCTGAGAAGCCACTCTATGGTCTATACAGCTCAAGCCCCAAGAACTCTTATGACTGATTGGATTCTGAAATCTCTGAATGAAGTAAGAGAGACAACTTTTTAGAGGGCAATTATCATCTAATGAAGCTAGAGAGAGTAGCAAGGAACCAGTCAAGAATGACTCTAAAGCCATTTGACTAGGATTCACTATTAGGAATGGAGTCATCATATGCAAAAAGGCTGGCCCTCAGAGGAGTCTCATCACTGATGATAACTCTCTACACTCTCTCTCTGGACCACCTGTTACGATTTTTCCATTACTTTCTTCTTTAACCCCTATCCGTGCTTAGTCATAACACTAAAAGGCAAACGGGAAAAGGCTTAGTCAGCACAACTGGCCAAATTCACCATCCGACAAGGAGACGACGCTCGACAACGCACAACGAACCTTTTATGTATGATAGCGACGACCTAGGACAATGGGCACAAAGGACACGACAACACACAATAAGTAGCTGTATATATTTAGACACTACCAAGTAGTATTTAAGTAGGGCAGCTCTCGCTGGTAAACCCCAGCTTCGAGCTAAAGTTTATATTCATACCACTCTACTCTCGAGCCACCCTGTGGCCTTGTGACACACCGAGTCGATAACATCATAAGTGAATTCAGGTGATCCCTCGAAGTGCAAAGGGACATCTGTCTATCACGTGTTGTCTTGTCACGTGTCGCTTGGGCTTAACAATTAGCTCGAAGCTTTCCCCTTCCCTTTCTCAAGCCCAATTGTGCTGAGAAACCGAATGCCACCAGTAACAACTGCCGACTTAAACCACGACTTCTTCGAGCTTATCGCTTCCATCATTAGAACCTTACTCGGACTTCTCGCCATCATCACCCTCTGCCAGGGACGACAATCAGTAGCAGCTTGGATAGTCAGGCACTATCAAGCGTTCCAGCACGTCCAACAAATTTTACGAAATGTAACCCCTGACCTACCTTTCCATGACATCCCTCCCTCCGCCAGAACGTCCTTCTTCCCGCAAGAGGGACCCATATCAGAAACCGGGAATAACGACCTGGATCCAGGGAGCCTTCACGAGGAGGAAGGACCCCAACACCCCCCTTGACGACACAGCAGAAACCGCCACCCTGCTCTCACAGGATTCTGGAACCCGTGGACGACAAACGTCGCTCAGAAGCCCGCGGAGGTCTCCAACTACATCACTCCAGCAGGATCCCCCGAGCATTCCACCTCCCCAATTCCCTCAGGGATTGGAAACCGGGCTTGGGACTCCCTTGATGCCGCTCGGATGGCTACGGGACCCCACGAAGGCTCTAACTCCCCCCAGAACCCCCCCGAGACCCCCACCGAGCCCAACTCCGACTCCAGCCTGTCCGTCAGCAGGCTGGGGGTCGACGATCCACATGGAAGGACTATCCACCCTGATTATGCGAACGCAGAGATTGCCATCTCTGCAGCAGGAGACCCCTTCCAACATCTCCACGTGGGAAGTGAGCCCGAGGTCGGAACCGCCAGCGAAAGGGGAAGAGCCGCACAGGACAGAATTATACACCGAATATTCCCTGACTGGGATATTACCATTCCCTTCAACTATGACGAGGCGGTACAGCAGCAGCAGCAGAACCAGAATTGAGAAGAAGAAATCAGAAGAACCCAGGAGGAGCTCGCCGACTACGTACGAGAAGAGGCCCGAGAGCAGTACGAGGCCACAGAATACGACAGGCAAGGAAGAGCACAGAGAAGGAGAGAAGAGATCGAAAGAATGGGGTCAGCCTCCCCTAGGGAGTATGAGCTCCGCTCCGACGCAGGGTCCCCTTTTAGGGAGCCCGACTCAGAAGACGATCCATGGGCAGGGCCCACCAGCATCGTCAGTTGGGACGAGGCCATCAGACGCAGAAGGGAGGCAGAACCCCGACCCGTCATCCTCGAATACCCCGCTCGTACCGACACTATCTCCTCGGATGCCGACTCCGTCCTCGGAGCCTATGGGCTCCGAGTACCTGACAATGCCCACGTCTCCGACCAGGCTCTCCAGCGATTCCTGGGCAGCAGGATCGCTCGACAGTTCCTCAACCCCGAGTTCCAACGACACTTCAGCCTCTATAGCCGAGAACTGGAGGAGATGAGAGCGCACAGGGGAACACACTATAGCCGACTCAGGAGCCCCCCCATTACCCGTACTAGCGACCAAGAAGATGCCGGACCCAGTACCCAGGTCAACGGAAGAGTCCCCGACGACCCTTCGTCCTCCCATACCATCTATCTACGACCAGCCCATCAGTTCCCTCCTCGAGGAAGGGGACAGCAGGGACAAGGGCGACAAGGAAGACGGGGAGGACAGTGATGACCCATACTGGCAACGAATGGAGCGAGCAGGGGAGG